CACCAGGACTCCCAGATGCTTTTCTGCCAAGATGCTTTCCAGGAGGTCAGTCGTACAGGGTAATTCCTCCCCAGGGGCAGGAATTGTCACTTCCCATTGTTCAGCTCCATGAAACTTCTGCTGACCCTTCCCTCCAGCCTGCCAAGGTCCCTCTGAGTTGCAGGACACCCATCTGGTCTGTCAGTCACTCACCCCAAGATACCAGAAAGGAACTGGAGCTTTTTAATCACATCTCTCAGTTAACAGAATTCTAGCAGAACAGAGGGTTTTGTCTCCATTGTGTTGTGAGGAAATTCAAGATATGTACTTGAGGACCATACAGAATTCATGTCCTTCTCTTTGGACTTTTATTTACAAACAGAGAGCACAAAGGTCTGCATCTTATAAGATCGTGTCAGTGGAATTCTAAAAGCATGAAGTAACAAACCAAACAAGTCAATTTCCAGTCACATTTTTGTTGTCTTTTATATTTGGGGTACTTGCTGGTTTTGTATATGCATGCCTTGTCACTAAATGTGTGTATCAGCTTTATATTGCCAACAGCAGAACAGACTTTTAGAAAAAAAATTTGTAGCAAGGGTTCTATTTTGTTGAGATATTCTGGAAGGACACTACAAACCACAGAAAGGAAATCTGAGTTGCTTGTGATGTTACAGGGATGTTGAGATTGCTAGAACAGCCTATTAAATGTAGTTGCTAATTTATTTTTTATATCAAATGGGCTTTCAAAAGCTTTGCACAGTGTTATAAAATAAAAAGGCACTCATCTATTTCCTACTCTTCTTCTCTTAAAAGTATGGAAATACATTCCAAAGTCACAGGGCAGAGTTTAGCAGTGAATCCAAATCACTTATTTCTACAAATATCATGGGAACTGAGATTTCCCTAACAGTTTTCAGATTCTCTTTTAAGGATGGTATTATTTCATCAGCTATTTGTTTTTCTTCTAGATGTTAAGAATATTCTGAATATTTTAACATTTTTATTCAGTGAGAAACAAAGCTACTTGCAAGCCCCGATTAGGAAGTTGCTTATTTTGTTGCCCCTGCCAGGATCTGGGCACATAATCTTCAGTTCCAAGGTCTACAACTGTCTGAAATAACTCACAAGTTCATGTCATACTGGGGCTTTGTGGTTGCTGATCTGTAGGGAAAAACTGTACAGCTGAAAGACCTAGCTTGTTCTTAAATATTTCTATTTATTTGTTTTTCTTTTTCCTGTTATTTTTTTTCCTCAACACAGAAGAAATCATGAGATGCAGGATTAATCAGGATCAGAAAAATATCCATGGCAGTTTCCCAGGTGCCATATGGAGGCTACCAATCAAACTAAAATATGCATTATAAAAACAATGGTATAGGACTTATATGCAGCCTGCTCTTCATATCAAAGTTACAGAACAGAAATTAGCTTGTGCAGCAGACATCTTTTCATGGAAATCCTTTCCTTAGGATTTTTTCCTCCTGAGAAGCTAAGAGGCCTCAGGAACAAAATGTAAACAATGGTTATCTGCAGCTGTGGAATGCAACAGGTAGATCTTTGATTGGCCCATTATATATTTATAATTATTGGCCAATCACAGCCCAGCTGGCTTAGACAGAGAGTCTGAGACAGCTGCTTTTGTTATCATTCTTTCTGATTCTATTCTTAGCTTAGCTAGCTTTCTGAGATGAAACCTTTTTCTACTATTCTTTTAGTATAGTTTTAATGTAATATACATAATAAAATAATAAATCAAGCCTTCTGAAAAATGGAGTCAGATCTGCATCTCTTCCCTCATCCTAAGACCCCTGTGAACACCATCACAAGTTTGCAATGACTTTGTAATATTTGGCTCAGACCAATTGCACACTTGTGTGATCTACAGTGATTCAGGTGAACACCTTCACAGATGCAAAATGGTGCCTTCTGAGCAATTCACAAAACAACTGGAACACACATCAAACCCTGTCAATGTTTGGGGAGGGAGTGGAGCGAACCATAAATTTTTGAAGGAACAAAGCCATCTAGATGTGAGCAGTCATTCAGAAAACTAAACATTCCTATGTTGCTTTGCTGGAATAATGAAGGATTATTAAAAAATCCAAAATATTTGAATCGAATTAATGTATTACACAGTGATATTTAAATGCACTTGAAAACAGCCCAGGAGTGCAGAATTTGTGTGTGTGGTGTTAAGTTCCCAGAGTGCAGCAGCAGCATCGGGGTCATGGTGAGACACAGAGAAATCACTCACCGGGGACCAACTCCCCCCCAGCTAAAAGGGACTTTTAATGGGCTCTAAAGCCCAGCTGATTTACCCCATGTGGCTGAGAGGATCCTGCTCCAGTCCAGATCCCAGGGCAGAGGGACTGGAGGGGGGAAGTGAATATGCTGGAAAATATCGTGCAGTTCCCCACAGCAGTCATTGAGCCTTTGCATCCTGAATTCTTGCATTGAAACATCAAAAGTTTCAAAACTGGATGGCAAAATGAAGGGATAAAAGGAGGACAGAAAATCTGTGTTGTTTTCTTGTCATCAGACTAACGCCTTCAGTGCTGAAGTTTTTCATTTGTTAGAAGAGAAAAAGTCCCAGAGCAGGAAATACCAAGTAGTGAGGACACTGGATCTGCGTGTGACACTGCACTTTAGAAGCCTCTTGGCTTAATATTTGTTTGCTTTCTTTGATGGCAAAGAAACAATAAACCAGTTACATTCATGTGAAAAGTGTGATATCCTGAGGAATGGTCCAGTGCATGGTACACATTAGCTATGCAAACATAATGCACAGCATAAACAGGAAAACTCATAATAATCCTAGGCAGTAAATCACACTTTATATTCATTTCCCCCTTTGCCCATTTCAAGCAAGTTTTTTAAGTATCTTTACTATTAACATATTGCTCACACAAAAAATAAGGAGACTTTGTAAGGCAGACTTCCTTTATATGTGCACTCTGTGCCTAAAATTAGGGTAAATACAACAATATATTTTTCTAGAAAAAAAGTAGAGTATCCCAGCTATTGTGCTGGGAAACAATTCTGCTTCCTTCCATTTTTTAAGCCTTGTCAGTTCTTTTACTGCAATATTCATCTCTCTTCAGCCAAAAACCTTGTTTCTCCCACTTCTTGTCCTGATCCTGGACTACATTATAAAGATAATTTTTTCACCCCAGAAAAGTCTGGCTGAATCCTCACTTTTGTGTCTATTTCTTCATGTTTTAGGAGTGGACCCCCTGAAGGTACCCTGGAGTTAGAATCTGCAACTGTCTATGACAATCTTTTCAAAATCAAATGGCTGTTTACTCTTAGAGATGAAAGCAGATTTGACCTAAAAATTATATTTTAATATTAATTGTATTAAAATTATTTCTGCACCATGACAGAATCTGGGGAAGAAATGAGGTTTGAGATGTGAAAACTGAGAGTCATTCAAACTCTCTAAGTTGGAGACAGATGGATTTGAAGAGTGGGCTGTTAGATGGATAAGAAAGTGGTTGGGTGGTCACACCCAGAGAACAGCGATCAGTGGTCAGAGTCCCAGTGACAGCAGTGACAAGTGGTGCTCCTCAGGGGTCGGTTTTGGGGTCAGCGTTATTTGATATCTTCATTATTGTCATAGACAAAGACAAACATAGACAGAGTATGCCCTCAGCAACAGGATGTTAGAGCCTTCCAGTGGGTTTGCTGCTGCTGTTCTCAGGGATGTTTAAGCATTTATATGGAGTAACATCTCCAAGAAGTGGGACCCAAATGTTCCTCCCATGTGTGCAAAGTAGAAGAGTCGGGATTCAAACTCATTTTCAAAAAATCCAAGGGCAGCACTAACACAGCAAAACTATTATCCATACTAATGGGCTTCCTTCTGTTCAGAAATCCCCCCTTGGACTAATAGTTTAAATTTTATTAAACTGTATCCTTTAAAACTGGCAGCAGTAGGGTTCCCCAGTGAGATCTACTCAAGTATTGGTCTGTTTTTATGCCTCCACTCCTTTCAGCAGGCTCAATGCCAGTTTCTCTCTTCCAATACAACTGTGACATTTCTTGCCCTCTGTTCCAGTGTTCTCTAACATTTTCATTGCCCTTTGGAGCTTTTGGCCCTAAGCCTTCACAAACAAACTGTGCAATGCACCTGGAATCTAGGAAGAAAGTGCTGCATAATTATTAAGTTAAATATTGTCTCCTGACCCTTATAAAGAAATTTTTCATCTATTGCTTTTCCTGGTTATTTCCCAATCACCTGCTCTTAAGTTAAACAGATACGGTTGAATACAGCAAATGCAAACAACCTGTAGCAAGTATTTGTAAATTATTACAAGAAAACTCCCTGCCTTCCAAAGAAAAGCAGATGTAAATTCAATTCTCTTGGAAACTCAGCCTCTGATGGTGTGTGCCTCTCTCCATGACCATTTGTTGTCAGGGCCTCAACAAATTTTCAAAGAGCAGAAGTATTTTGTCTCCCATTCATTCAAGGCATTGGAGTTTGTAGATAATTCTGTGAAATAAATGTCAGACACATGAATGTAATTTCTTTTGTTTAAAACCTGATGGTCTTAGAGTCAGTTCTCAGCTGACATATATGGAAGCATTAACTTTTATTGTACATCAAGATTCATTAAAGAAGCTGAGACATGGCTTGAACTATTGCAAACTGTGTGTCATCTTTCCATTCCCTCATCTTCTCTGTGACTGTAGTGCTACCTCATTCATTTTCTGTTCATTGTCAGTTGTCTCTTAATATAAAATAAAGTTTAAGAGATCTGGTATACAGAATAGAAACCCACCAAAAATTTGAACCATGAAAATTCATATTCATATCCTTCATATTCATTGAACCTGAACACAGCAGCAATGTAAACTTAAAAAAAAAAAAGAACATGCATATTTATAGGGAACTTCAATTCCATTTTCACAGAATAAATGATATTTTACACTCCACACCATTTAGACCTCAATCTCTCTTCTGGCAAGCCAAGCTGTTATTTTTTGCAGATTGTTCCTAAGTCATTTATAATCAGGCCATGGCACCACTGACAACAGCACCTTTGAAGTCAGGTAGGGATTATTAATTTGCTGTGAATTTTCTGAGGACCTTCATCTTCTTTCCATACACTTTTAATGGTAAAAGTCATAGAGGCGAAAATGAAGGTACCGGCCACAAACAAAATTAAGCTATCAAACTCTCTGGGTTCAGATTAATTCTGGACAGTGCAAAAAGCTAATCAGCCTTTACTTTTTAATGTGGAACATTACTTTTTGGGGTTCCTAAAATGCATCTTCTGGAGGATGAGGTCTGAGAGCACTCAAAGGCTCAGAACTCTGGGCAATGAACCCCACAGCTCCGTCAGCCACCCTTGGGGGCACGGAAGGGGAAAATCATTACTTGTGGCACCATTTTTAGCTCTCCATCAAAGACCACAATCACCGGTAGGTGTGTGTGTGTCTGTCTGTCTGTGTCTTCCCTAAATGAAAACACTGTGTCTATCTATACAGGCTGGATACTGTGAGGAATTTTTTCACAGAAATGGTAATTAAATATTGGAACTGCCCCGGGAGGTGGTGAAGTCACCGTCCCTGGAGGTGTTAAAGACTGGACATGGCCACGGTCTGGTTGACACGGTCGTGTTCAGTCACAGCTTGGACTCGATGATCTCTGAGCTCTTTTCCGACCCAATTGTTTCTGTAATTCCGGGATACACCAAACTTTAACACTGGAACCACCAAGGCGGTGAGACTCGGTGAGGCCACGGCGGCCGCGCCCGCGGTCCGATCACCGGGGCGTGCTGAGCCCAGGGCTGCTGCCGCGTGGAGCTCCCGGTCGAGGGGTGGCTGAAAGAATCACCCTGCCCCGGGGAGGGGACCGATGGCCACCCTGCGGGGCCCCTGATCCCGGGCCAGCTCCGAACAGGGACACCAGGACAACGAGCAGCGGGGCACGGGCGGGCGCGCCGGGTCGCCCTCGGTCGCTCCCCGCCTCACAGCCGCCCTCGGGCTGCCGGGCGCATGCGCGGAGGCGCCGCCTGCTCCGCCGAGCGCGCAGCGGGCGTTGGGGCAGCGCGGGGCGGCAGCGTCGGCCCTGCTCCGCACCCGGGCGGCGGCGGTGAGTGCGGGCAGGGACGGTGAATGGGGACGAAGTGCGGGCTGGGGCGGTGAGAGTGCGAGCAGGGAGGGAGAGGAGCGGGCTGAGGTGGAGAGTGCGGGCAGCGCGGGGTGCGGGCAGCGCGGGGTGCGGGCGGGCGGGCGGGGGCCGCCGGCGGGAAGGGGCTGCCCGGCGCGGGGACGGCGGGAGCGGTGCCCGCAGGGAGCGCCCGGGGCGGGGGTCCCGCACGGGGACCCCTGAGGGGGGTGAGGGGGGAACGCGCCCCGCTACCCTCCGCCCCTCCGGCAGCTGGCAGCCTCCCGGTAAAGCCCTCTCCAAGGGTTTGTGCCATTTCCAGTTAAGCCGGGGGAGAAAACGCGTGGAGTGCGTTGAACAAAGGAAGAATCCTGCGGGATTTCTCTTTTGGAAGAGCTTAGCGACTCTCTCCAGAATAGGCAGCTGATGCGTTTTTCTCCGAACTTTTAAAAAACACCACCCCCCAACACAAACCCGCGGAGCACAGCCGCAGCCACCCGAGGCTCTCGTATTCCTGACAGAACTTTTTCCGCAGGGTCACCCAGAGGCCCCGGCAGTGCGGGAGCTGCGGTGGCCGGGACGGGCTCGGGCTGGGAAGGTGTGTGTGGGAATGAGCCCGACCCTCCGCCTCTGGGGGGCTTTTCCTAGGCCTGGTGCTGGCAAGGGAACAATTCATCCACATCCACAGGAAACAGGAGGGGCAGGGGGAGCCTCGGGGCTGCCACAGTTGGAGCTGGGATTCAGCGTTGCATTGGTTGAGGCGTGAGAGAGCGGGCGGTGATTGGGGACAAAACACAGAGGAATGGAGCCAGTGAGTAAAAGGAAGAAGCACAGGAAAACACTTGAAAGAATTTCAAGTTCTCATAGAAAAGTTTGTGAAGGGAGGAGGGACAGTTATGCAGATCTTGCTGTTCTAGATTAAAATCAAGACCTTCAATTTATTGTTACTATTGACTGTGACTGAAAAAACCCATAGTAGTACTTTATCTGCTCATTACCACCTCCTTTACCATCTTGTCCCTGTGCTGGCACCATTGTTGATACAGCAGGGGCGAGGAGTGGCAGGGAGCATTACCACCAGGTTCAAACTGACCTTTTAAACACTTTTTCTGATTAACCTAGTTAGTAATCATGTCTGTTTCCCTGCACTGCCATAGGGATGCTTATCCTGGCTCAAGGAAACGTGGTTGGGAGGAAAAGAATTATTTTAGTTGTACATAAATGATCAGGCATGCGTGTAGAAGCTCTGTTTTTCAGTGTACACGTGTGTATTGTGCACACAGACACGCACACCTCTGTGAAGGGTTGTGCAACTGGCAGGTTGAACATTCTGGCCCTTGTGTTGAACAGAGGGAGTGCCATTGATAAAGCAGTGTGGGGGAGGTTTACAAGTGCAGGAGGTGATGAGCAGTGTGAGGAGACTTAGCTAGCAAAGGTGACTGACATTGCAAGAGTAGTTCTCGCTGAACCAGGGCAGTGAGATTGCAATCCAGAGAAGAGGACACAGGGAACTTGTGTGTAAGAGTATTGCATGGAAACAGGAGTGAGATTTTTACTTATCTGTTCAGTTTCAGCCATCTCACTTTAACCTCTTTTAGACTAGAAAACCTCATTTTCCAGAACAGATTAGGCTGGAACCTGGCATCCTGAGTAACTCTGTACTCTTGGAACCAGCAAATATTGGAAAATCCCTGGGTGAAACTTGGATTATCCTTTTCTCACACAAGTTCATCCAGAAATTTGTGTCCAACTAGTGTACTCAAAAGAGCAAAGCATTGCATCTGGTTGTAACACCTGCAGGTGTTGAGATTATAACTTGATGATCAGTTTTCTTCTGAGAGTAGTGGATAGTTGCACACAGATAACTGTACTCATAGTGTCATTTCCAGAAACACAAATGGAGAACTGAAGTTTGAAGTTAGCTTAAATTCAGTTCCTTCATACATCTAGAATCTAGAACAAGCTACAGTTTTCTATTAAGTAATAACATATTGTTTCTTGCATAAGAAAATCCTGTTGTAGTCAGGAAGTATTTTGGTCTCATCCTCCTTACTTTGGTTGTGTGATGTCAAGATGTTTTCTTGATGTGACTCAAATCTGCATCCAATTCTGCTGTGATTATGGAATTACAAATTTCCTTGTGTTTTCTGTTGTGCTTATCACCTTAGAACTCAGTACTCAATTCTCCCCTTAATTGAGAAAACTCTCCTAAAACAAGGAAATCATCCTCCCATTCCACATGAAGAGTGAAAGATAAAACTGTGGAGACCAAATCTGGTCTAGGTAGGATCTGATTTTTTCAGGGTATTGAATTCTGTTGTCCTCATTTATGTTAAGCTGCACAGGTGCAAATAAATGGAATGTCTGTTCTAAACCTATTCTGCTTTTGCAAATCAAGCAGTCAGGTTTTGGGAGATGCATCCCTAAGATAAAATGTGTGTAGTTTGTGTCCACATTGGAACAGCATTTTTAGGTAATTTATCTAGCGTCATGAATAAATTCTGTGGCAAAAGCAGGATAAAATATACTCCAGGGCTGTGCTAATTTTAGATTACAGCAGTGTGAACCATTTTGGTTTGCTCTGTCATTTTAAACAGCTCACTCTTCCTGTGATCCTCTTGTCCAGCATTTTGCTCTGCCTGCCTCTGTGACCTCCCTCACGTGTGGTAGTGTAATTCCATACTCTTTTGGTGAGGCAGATCACAGAACCAATCAGGCTGAAAACAAAGACTTCTCTGACTTGTTCTTGGCTCTTACCTGGCTCACAGAAACAGCTGGACAAGCAGGGAACAGGAGATGTGGTTGGTAGCACAAGTATGAGTACTGGGGAAAAACAAACCCATTTTGCCCCTCTGCTTCCCTGTTCCATTATTCCAGTAAATCTTATTTGTGTCATTTCTTCCCATTTACTCAACAAATTACACCAGATTCCTGTAGGGAAGAGTTCTGATTTTTTGCACCATCCTGCTAAGAGCTTTTGCTTTCAGTTTGTCAGCTCAATCCTGAATTTTGTTGCTCGTTTTCATCTCTCTTTCATGACTTCCATCAGCTGTGTTTCCAGGATGCTGTCTGCTCTGGCTGATGTTTCTTTAATGGTTGTTTTGCTTCAGCCCCCAAAGACAATCTGCTTTCTTGCCCCCACCACTGCTTCCTCTCCTCTTCCACACTAAAACAAAAGCACTTGCAGTGTGCGTGGAGAACCCTACAGAGCTGGCAGAGGAGGGGCCTCAATGACCTCATGTCTGCTCTGTTCTCCTGCCAGTTGGGTTCAGATGTTGGTAACTCTTTGACCTTTTAAAATCTAATCTGGCCATACCCAGACCTTTCCTTGTTTACCTTTGCTTGTCTTACTGATTCTTGTTAAGTAAAATTTGATACACATTTGTGTGAAATACACTTAACCCATTCTTTTCTTGCTGGCATTTTTGATGGTGCTGATTATCAAGTAATCAGTGTTTTAATCAAGGTTGCTGAATACTATTATTAGAATAGCTGCATTTCAAAAATAAAGCCTTGACAGTTAGAAAAATAAATCCCATGCTAACCACCTAAAATCACACCATGGATTTTGGCTTGCTAAGAAAACACATCTGTTGAGAGCTCTTTTGTGCCTATTTCAGGCTGTTGCTTATTTTTACTAATACATAATCCCTATGAAAAATAACTTCAACTTTGAATAAAAGTTAGGCATCTGTTCAGAACTAAATTTATAAAATCAGACAAGAAATGCATTTGCACAGCCCACTGTACTGGAGTTAGCATCCAGGGCTGAGACATGCATGCTGTAGTAGCACAAGAAGTGTTGCCCATTTTCAAACCAGAAATGCAGCTTTCTGCTCATAGATCACTTTTTTTGACCACAGATATCTTTGCATGAGGGAGAGACAGACTATCCTGCAGTTGCATCTTGAAAGATCTTTGAGATCCCTTGCATTTTACACATTTCTTACCTGCTCAGTGGGATGTTTCATTTAAAGTGTTTGAATCAGCCTTCTCATGTTGCTTCTGAAATTACTTTTGAAAGCATCTCCTACTTGAAGATCACACACTCAACATACTTCCAGTTTTTCATCTTGGTGGTCAGTCTGTACCAACATGATTACTCCAAGAGTAGTCAAACTAAATGATGCTAAAATCCAGAGGCACCATGTGAAGTGTAGGATGGGAGTAATTTGTCATACATAAAACTTAATCCCAGTGAAGTTTTCATTTTGTCACCTGAAACTGCAGAAAATCTATATTAGCCAGAACTTCAGGGTGGGTGAGATTTTTTTGTTTGTTTGTTTACACCAAGAATTGTGGTAATTCTGGATATTCCTGTTTTGCTGAGCTCTTTGTTTTCCTGTAGTATAACAATGCATGGACCAATTTCAAGATTCACTTTACAGCAATTCTTCATTAAAACCCCAATCATTAAATTAACCATTTAACATAACTGCCTAAACTGTAAAATTTATAATCAGCTGCATTTGTGTTTCCTACTTGGCATTGATAAAAGGCTCAGAAGGTGGGACTCTGTATGGAATCCTAGCAGGAACACTCATAAATAGTGGCTTCAACAGACCTGTGAACTTTTGCACCTGCCTGCTTCTCCAGTTTATCAGTGAGTTGTTTACTGACCTTGTGTATATTCTTCAGCTTTTATTTGCAGGCTGTAACTCTTATGATTTACTAAATAAACCTGGAGGAGAAGCAACTTTCTGTTTGTCTTCCTGTTCCTGGTCTCCATTCTCATGGCTATGGGGAAGGGTTAAATGAGGTTTCAGGGTCAGCATTAGTTAAATCTCCTGCTGGTTTTCCTGTAGATTTCTCCTGTGGCAGCTGAAACGAGCACAGTCTGTGATATTTTATTTCAATACTGCTGAGCACTTGTGAGTATCAGGAATGGAATGGAGTCACTGTTGTGTTTGCTGTTTGCTCTGGTGGTTGTCAGAGCTGTGGGCAGCAGTGAGATGAAGGCGCGGCCTATTGACTGTGGCTGTGTA